CGCTATCGGAAGGTGCCCACACGGCCTCTTAAAGCTTCAAAATGTTGGAGATTCGGTGGAAATTTACTAGCACGCTCCCAAGCCGAAGACACGTGAATTCCCTCTTGTTGAAGTACAGCAGCAATTTTACCACCCAAAAGAAATAGCAACTTCAATATAATTGCGTTTGAAGTCTTCTTTTGCAGCTAACTTTAGCAACTGCTCTGCTATGATAGATAGGCTCTCGCTAGTAATAATAACTAGTTGTCTATTACTATGGCTGCACTTGTATATAGCGAAGATCCTTGAAATGACATTTGAGCCAAAAATAATTAACAAAATAATGTAACCTTGACAATTCATTTTGGCATATGAGACTCAAGATGGTTTCGAACATGGAGTGGTGCTACTCGACGATAGAGTACAATGATGCAGCATCTGAAGAGATTGACTGTTGATTTTTTGATTCGAACGTTGATATATCATAGAGCGATATTTCAAAGATATTTTACTTGGTTACGATCGATTCATCACTTTGAAATGAACTGATGACCTTTGGCGCGCATCAGGGATGAAAAAATAGTTATAATAAGAATCAGACGTTATTCTGTCCATACCCAGCGATTTGTTTATATATAATACGAGTATATGATTTCCATCACGCAGACATCGTCAAGTTCTCAGCCTCGTACTTTTGAGCAATCGTTAAATGTGCAGCAACAATCGGAACTTGTTCATGATTGTTACTCACGATCTCCACAAAAATTTCTTACATTCGCCAACAGTTTTAAAGTTAGCGACAACGAAGAGAAATTGCTTACGCTTCGACAAGAAAATAGCGACATCTCGGTGACCAAACAAAGCGAAAGATCGAATACTGACAATGGAAATCAACACAGCAACACACCTACAAAATCGCCATATCTCCAATCTTTACGCGGAGAGGAAAGTGATCCACCTGCGAGTTTTCGTACGCCACAAGGCAGTAAAAATCTACTCTCATCATCAATGTCTGCATCGATTTTGGTTAGTGCAAGGTTGCGTAAGTCCGGTGGCAACTCGGCTGACATCGTGAAGAGACTTAAGGTATTAGGGACGCAAGTATCGACTTCAGGGCTATCAAGTACACCCTATAAGTATAGTGGTCTCACTACTGACAGTCTATCAAGAGATATTCGAGAGAGTGGATCATTACAAGGCACATCAATATCCCAAGCTGGTAAAGAAGCTACGTCAAGTGCACCAGCACCGCTTAATGTCCCTGAAAAATTCATCTCAGTCATGGCTGCAGAAGATATTCGCAACGCCTTTAATCTACAACCAACCCGTATGTCATATGGATGCAGTGTGGCCTTAGAATTATTTAATGGCAATTTCATGATGGTGGGTAGTCCAGAGGGAAAGGTTCGTGTGCAATCGCTCGAAAAAATACAAATATCTCATGCTGAGGGCTACAAGGACCGAGTAATCGTTACCTTATTGAATCTAGAAGATGTTTTGAGTGCTGGCTCAATACGCTACGGCGATTCTGTGTGGCTTCAATTAAGTGTCGGTTCAGGTGATGTTTCTTGGGAACAGGGAGGAGTGTTAGGCGCAAAAGTACGTCAAGCTCCTCAATTAAAAGCTCTTGGTCTGCTTGATGACGAATTGATTCGCGACGATGCGCAAGCGCCTGCAGCTGTGGGGCTTCCCGTTCCAGTACCAGCTTACCTACCGATGGTGACATAAGCCGTGAAATTGTGTTAAAACACGGCCTTAACTAATTCAACAACTGTTTTGTTAGAGTCGAGATGATGGTGACTTGCCGGTAGATGATGCTCATTCGCGAGCACGTAATAGAAACGCTATAATTTTGGGCAAGTGGACGATTCAATCTGCTGTGTGCCAGCATCGCAATCAAAAGAAAGTAGGTATCATGCTAGTTTTGAACAGTTGACGTGGTTTTACTGATTTGCTATGATTTCAGAAAAAGTTTGTGTACAATAATGATGAAGTGTATTTTGAACAGGATTGGTTCTATATTGGAGCCGATTTGGAGGCAGGTATCGCGGTTTTGCGTCAATTACCATCTCCTGTCATTGGTAAAGATACTAAACCAGGAGACTACGCTATCGAACGTCGAGGAGTGTGGAAACTTCATTTATTAGACTTAAATGGAGGAGGTGCCGGGCTATCACTGGCTCAGCAACAGATGGAATGTCTTTTGCTCCGGGCAAAAGCTCAACTTAAGCAGTCGAAACGAATGCGGGCAGGACAGACGAAAAGCTATGGTCCTCATTTACGAGGTGGTACTGGTTTCACGGCTCAACTCCGGGCTCAAGTAGCGACATCAACACGTCAGATCGAGAGCCGCTGTGCTGATCAACAGGAGAGGCGACTTCAACACATTCATCGTCATTTGAATAATAAATATCAACGTATAAATGTGGCCTTGGGGCTGAAAAACGCGACAGCACTTACACAAAGATCTAGCTGTCATTTAAACAGCTGTGCAAGTGCATCGAGTATTAAGCAAGAGAATGATCCAAGACAAGAGCAAAAGAGCAAGCTATCATCAATTGACGACCATTGGGAGAAAAGAAATAAGCCGATTTTGAAAAGCGCTACGGTTGGAAATCTCAAGCGCTTATTAGTACTAAAATCATCGGATGCCGTTTCAAGCTGTGCCTTGTGCAATTCGTCCTCCATTAAATACAATTTGTGCTGTCAATATCGTGACGTAATCCAGACATTAGAGCAAGAACGTGTTGATGAGTTGAGAGCACGACAAACTCATAGTGAAGGAAACTTGTTTTTAGAACGTAATCGAGCAAGTAAGTGTAAAGTCAGTCATAACACCAGATCTGGCGATACAATGACATTGAATGGGATTTCATCGATTGAAAACACGATTCGACAAGAAGGAAACGAATCTCTCTGTTGTACGAATAGTACGAATGCATCAACCGATGCACTTGGTCTTTCTGGACGAAGTTTTCGACTTTTTGCCAAAGAGGACGAAGTGATGGTCAGCTTGATAAAATACAAGAAGAAGGAGGCTATCCGTGCTCTGGATGAACAAAGTCGCGTTTCAACTACGTTGTCGCCAATGGCTGCTCGCTTTCGCGATCGGTTTAAGCACGTAGGTCTCTTTGTCCAGATGCACAAGAAGCAACAAGAAGTAGAAGAAGACAAGAATAGTTAACTTTAGTAACTTCTTTGGTAGTATAAGATTAAAAGTGCCGACAATAGTCATATTTTTTGACTTATGGACCTGCATTGAAGTATATTACCAATATCAAACTTTTGACAACAACTTGAACGTATGATGTGTGAGAGGCGTGACGATAAAGCCATCGTAAATGGATTGTATCACAGTCGCTTCAGTGCCATGTCACACTTAAACAGCAAAAGATTTTCTGGATTTCACATTTTCGCTAACGTGTTTTTTTTGTTACCCTAGTGCTTACTTCCCGTAGCCTTATCATATATATATATTGCCTAATGATATCACCGCTCACTTCGTATCAGGTAAATTCGTATACTTGGATTATTTGTCAAATCTAACCATCATACAGAATTATAAATTTGAGAATTTCAGAAAGTACATAATATTTGAAGGATTACCGTGAATAACGAACAATTTACCATCCTTTCTGATTAGATTATGCTGAGCGATCCCACATACTCTGGGGCTAAACGAAAGCATCACGAGAAAACATTTACGGCCAAGGCTGAGACGGGAACCTTAAAGGTGCAAATATGTAGACAAAATGAGCAGAATGACATATTTGTGCCAACTTCAGGTCGACGAGCTGTCAATTGTACGTCGTCATCCGACTCGCCGCCCAAGCCTCGACCTAATCGAAAGCATGTACCTATTTTCTACGAGCCGCAATTTCGCCAAAAAATGAGAAGAGGAAATAGCAACAACAAGCTTTATAGAAGCTCAACGGACGAGCACTCAACATCGCCCATAAGCGGCTTCGATTTTTACTTACCTTTTTCCTCAGAGACGTCTGAGGCTACATATTCAAGGTTGTCAACAGACGCGAGCCTTGCTTCAAATTTAGTGCGTTCTGGGCCCGAGAATGTTCGTGAGCGGCTGACTGCAATCCCTCTATTCATTCGCGATGACAGCGATGCGGCTAGTGCATTGGAGGAGCAAGAGAAGCCGTTCATGCCATCTGACGTGCAGTCTACTTTGCCTCCATCGACGTCATCGGAAAGGCTTGTTGTGGACCACGCTGTGAAACCGTCGTCAACTCTTCGCCAGATTCCGCCGTCGTCTACTTCATCTCGTTCAACACTGTATTCATTACCGACAACATCAAGTGGGCAAGACCGTGGCAAACCTATTATGGAAAGAGTAGTATCCGATACGAGTCCAAGTGCAGAACTGACGAAGTACATATCTGATTCAATTCAAACCGCAATTGATCATGCACACGAAGCTGCAAATGACCAAAGCAAGAAATTGGCAGTCCCAAGAGCAATGTTCGTTTCATTAGGCTTGAACCATTTGAATCCTCACAATACAACGAAATGGCGACAACAGTCTTGCGACCTGAGCTTGATGTGCCTCTCCCGATATCCCCGCATAATATACTGGTCGTCAATAAAAAGCAGCAATGTACTGCTGAAGTGAATAACGAAGAGACCATATTATCATGTCTTACAGCTGAATATGACGAAAGAAATGGGAGGAAGACAAATGCTACCCGAGGGTCCCCGACAGGGGTTTTGCCGTCGCTATCATTATCAAACTCACTGCTACACGGAGGCATTTCTTTTTTGGACATATTTAAAACAAAACCTAATTTTGATCGATTGGAATCATTGACCACAATAGTCAGCCAGGAAAATGCGGACACCAAACGCCTGAAAGCTACGCTGTCATCGAGCTTGACTGCTTGTCTGGAGTCTCAAAAAACTAATAGTTCTCGTAGCAACGACGGCAAAAGTGCTGATGCCATAAATCCGACAGCGACACCCCAACAAAGAAGTCTGGCTTGCGATTGCAACGTGATTCATGAGTCAAACGGAAGAATATTAAATGATTTGGGACCACCACCTAACGATCCTCCTGCATTTACGATCGGAAATTCGTGATGGGAGGAGGGATTGTGCTGTAAGCCGCAGCTACAAATTTTACCACAAACCCTCTTGACTGAAATATGCACAAAACTATGACGATGATTTCAAGCAAACACAATTTGGGCAGAGACCGGCATCGTCACAAGAGAAGTAATCTAAGTACATATGCATGACATCACTCTAAATTATTTTTAATCCTATACCTCACCAATTTTACAATAGGTATTTACCAACTCGACATCAAAGTGATGAACTCACTGCTAAACAAATTTCATTATATGTTTGGGCACACGATAGTGCTTGAAAACGGTACCACTCCATACTGAACTCTAACTCGTGCAACCACTTTGCACAGAGACAGATTCGATTCAAAGAGTCCGCATTAACTAATACACTAAGGCTGGGATACTCACCCAGGCGCGTATTCGAGATATCTAGTTTGCTCTGCAGGTTCAAGAGTATATATACGTAGCTTTAATAAAATGCCCGGTCTACATAGGGCGTACAAATGGGAAAGCGTTTTATTAGAAAGGGCGCTCTGATTCTCGCCGTCAGAAAGAATAATCTCTCAACTTCATGATCTTGTATTTCAAATTATTCCATTGTTATCAATAATTCTGTTCGTCGCGAACCAGCTGATATGCCATTTCTTAAAATTGTCATGAAAGCCAGCATTTCTGAATTACAGTTTTATGGAAATTTTGCCAATTAGTTTTGACCAAATCACTTTTTTTCTTCTTTCGGAGGTTGAGATGTACCGACGCGAGTAAGCTCAATATCGCCAGATTTACTGACCCCTGGCTGAAGTGGTTAGTCACTTGACCTGGGACCTGGAGGTACCTGGTTCAATCTGGCAATTTTTTGCAATTCGTCATCACCAGGGGTGTCACTTTGCTGTCAAAGTGACACCCCTGGTTATTCTAATAGTAGCAAACACAATAGTTTCCAGCAAAACATGGCGTACTCCAGTTGTATCCATTGCTGTGCACTATGGATCTTCCAAATAAACAGCAGTTTTGTCGATTAGCACCATGTTGGAAGGAGCGCAAGTCGATCCAAGACTGGCCAAATACCTCATGCCCCCAAAAGCTCGATTCAATAAATTTCATCTGGCAAAGTTGCCAAGTGTGTAACTCGACGAACTGAGAAACAACTGCGTTCTATGATCTTTGTCATTTAGCAAGCAGATTCTGGAACTCTTTTACTCTAATTCTCCTTCGTTTGGCGACGTTTTAGGCAATGTGGAGAGCGATTTGTGTGGTCATACGCTCTTTTGCCGTCCTAAAATTTGATACGTTATCAGCGATTATTCATTATAATCAGTAAGAATGCCTGTCCACTCAACGCCTTCTTTTCAGATCGATAGAAGGGCGCCAAGAATTCCAGTTCGATTTGTCCACCAGGTCCACACCATCACTGGGGATAGATTAAGCCGCTTCGAAGCCCGTGTAGGCATGATCGCGAATCCATTCGATTATTTCCAGTCTCATCGATCCGTTTAATGCTTCCCGTTTCGACATCGTTTGAACTTTGTACTGACTGCGTAATGGAGGCCGTGTCAAGAAACGCCACCAGCGCATTTTCTAAGGGCATAGTTATCTTATTGCGCCCTATGAGTACGAATATTCACAAATCTACAAAGTGCAATGTGATAATCTTGCAATGTGACACTTCGCCCGCTGATCGAGCAACTACTGTGCTGGGCGCTTAACTTACCCTTTGTAGTTTACTAGCGTGCTCCTCGGAGCAGTCTTGAACCAGAAGTTCCCCCCTTGCACCTAAACGAATGACTCGAAGAGCACATCAGAAAGTTGCCAAGGAGCTAGAGCTGGCTCGGAAGGCTCAGCTCATTTTGATCGATTATAAGCGCGATGGTCATTTTGACTCATGTTCAAATCAGCACACCGTGGTTACGGTTTTAATCCGTCTGTAATTGATCGTCGCACTAGTGTAGAGCACTTACACACGGATCGGTCGTTCACACAAACAGCAATCCAGTAGTTAGAATTCGCTCTGCAAGCGCTTTTAACTACGGCTAATCGTTCTCAAGAGTACCACCGATTTTTAAGAGAGCAGTGCTTTGAAGATTCCCGAAAACGGCAAGATAGATGTACCTTGGATACTTTAAGCTGACGATAATATCAAGCTCAGTTTGCGCACTGGGCGATATAAACACGCCGTCTTATCGACTTAAAGTTTTACAGGCCAGCGATTGCAAAACAGCTGCTGACGAGAGAGTCGAATCATGCTTGACTTTGCAAAGTACAAATTACAAAGCACAACACGAACGTTGATTTGAAAACTCATCACCTCCCATCTCTCAATTATAACCGCGCTCGGTTCCCACCCTTTGGTATAATTATTAAAAAAAAGAAAAAATAGTGGGTGACCCTACCTTCTCTTCAAGGGGGAAAGGGCCAGGTTATAAGCGGTAACGGCGCCAAGGCAATCTTGTCTAAGTGGCAGCTCCCATGCGTTTTTGTCAATGATATCCTTTACACTTCACCAGATACTGGTTACAGCGCTGAAATACCATTTTGGCTACCTCTTGCCCCAGGCCAACTTTTGCTTGTCGAGCAATTTTGACGAAGGACAAACCCCATGCAGATGAATCTCTTGAGTTCTCTTTATTGTGGCTGCACATTGAACCTCTCCGAGAGTCGTGGCCTACGTCGAAACTGAGACGGGTCAGATCTCAGATACGCTCTGTGTGTCGCTTGAGGCGCCCCATTCGATAAGAACCCTCGCGTTGCTCTAGAGTAGAGGACAACTCAGCTAAATATATGGTGCCAACACTCCGTATACAAATAAGTTCTTTTACTTTCGGCTGGCTCTTAAGAATGGCGTCTTAAGATGCATTTAGTAAGTCAATATAGAGCACAGAATGTACTTCAGATGTTAGGAGCACATCTCAACACCGTTATTTGCCAAAATCGCGGGACATTCGATTCAGTATAGGCGTGACTTAGTCCATTAGACCACAGACACTGTGTTTAAAGGCTGGCGAAGCGTTTAATCGAAATATTTGCCACACAGCTTTTTTATTTGTAATTTATCATCGGCGTGATGCTTTTGAATATCTCGTTTCTCAGTTTTGGCGTTGCGTATACTGCACATAATGCTAAATCTTGTTGAAGGTATAATCACTGATCGTAAAGAAGTTTAGCCAAATTGATGCCAGCAAGTTGAATCGTTTTGGCAGCCCCTACTGAGATCATGGGCAGTCTTGACGTTTTCAAAGGCACCTGGTCCGACCAAACATTTATGTAAATTAGCGTAAGGCTTGTAGAGTCATGTAATGCGCTGTTGACCGCAAAAGCAATTATTTGAAGCTACTTGGTCCAGCACCGCTCTCTCT